TCTGGTATCATCATTCATCTTTTGTCTTAATTTCCTATTATATGTATCCAGCTGTCTGTTTAAAAACCTGATTTGTGTCATAATGGTTAGTGTGTCTGCCCATTGTCATGGAGATTGTGGGTTGACTCCCATGTTTGAATGCAAACTCAGCTGGAGATAAAAAGTACAGACTCACAACATTTGTATTTGGAGAATGGCATTCTTTCTGATGAGACATAAAGCTGTTGGTCAGATGTACTGTTCCTATCACTGAATGTACAAAATCCAATTCTTGTCGCAAACAGTACCTGTTTCTGTGGAACAACTGATTTACTCCTTCATTGCATGTGCATCCTTGGTTTGTGCTGTCCTTCTCAACCTGTTGACCAGAAGTGATGGCATGAGTGGTATTAAAATATGAATATTCAAACTGATAAAATACTGGCTAAATAGCTAAAATAATAGGTAACAATATGCTTTGGTTGGGTTAATTAACCCTTTGTATGCCATAATATTTTGTGCCAACATTTTGCACAATTTGATGTATTTTTCAATAATTTTTTTGTTAATTTTGAAGCATTTAGACATAATTTTTCATTGGTTACTGGTCTGGATCAAAATTCTAGAAAAAAAAAATTATAATTTTATTAATGTTTCATTTTAGGAATGGTGACAATCAATTGTCTTTTTAACGTTCTTAAATTAATTTTCAAATCACACACTCTGGATTGACATAAGTACTGCCAAGAAACTCCAAGTTGTAGCGTAAATATACAAACATAAATCACAACACTTAACACTGGATTCAAACTAATGATCATGACATGCGTTCCCCATCAGTGCTGGCAAACATGCTCCCCGCTATCCTGCACTAATTGTTCAAAGAGCACATCCCATAATCACATGTAATGAGCACAGTCCCACAGTGCTGTATTAATGCACACATCAAATCCTCAACATTACAAACAACTTGCAGTATATCTTCATACACATATAGCCATGTATTCAGAATGAAAGAACCCTATTTAAGATTAGCCTCAAAGACAACTAAAATCACCTTTTTGTTTCAGTGATGCTGGTGTGGATGTTGTACTACATATGCTGGAATTGATGTGTAAATTACAAAGAAATGTATCTGGATTAGAAGAACGTTTACTCTTTACTCTACAGGTAAGTACAATTGTATTCTCATTTCTCGCATGCACTGGCAGATGAAGTACTGTATTTATTACCCCCCCCCCCCCAAAAAAAAACAAAAAAACTTGATACGTGAAAGTTGAAAATCCTTTCATTAAATTTTGAGGCTTGAAACACAATATGTATGAAAAAAAATTGTATTTATCTGATTAAATATGGTTTGTTTTATATTGTCTTTCTCTGTAAACTTACCTTTTGCACAGGACCACCCACCTCACCACTTTTAGCTTATATTCAGAATTGGGGAAATATATTGCTGGGAACTAAGTGACCATGTTATTTTTTGCTGGTTATGTTTTTTAATGTATTTTCACATTTTTGCATGATTTACCTCCACAAAAGTTGCAGTAAATAAATTGGTGTCATGTTATATTAATAAAAAGGCCAAGTCACAGGTAGTTGGGTAGCTCCCAAAAATTCTGTGTTTTGCCAGCAGTTTTGAAGTAAAAGAACTAATGTTTTGTTGCATCTTGTATTTAATTGGCCGTTAAAGGGCTGGATGAGACATCACTTACTGTCCATCAATTACTGAGATACATAGGGTGACAGTCGCCTGACTGTAGGTGTTGACAGGATTTTGAGTCGCGACTTTACATACTTCTTGGCCGGTCGACCTTTAATATGGACATGGACATGGAGCTGTGATGTTTTTCAATAAAAAAAACTTACTACAAACCCATATGTGTATATGTGCTTTTTCACGAGCCTCCTTGGTAAAACATGAACCCTGATAAGTCACGGTTTTTGTTTGGATCCCGACACCCGCAATTTAGTGAGGGGTCACAGTATTTGCCTATAGCCTGGACATGGCCATCCCATATGTTGAAACCTGTGGCTGAGCACATCAATAATCAGTTTAATACCAATCAGCGATTGATGTAATAAACTATATTTTCAGGATCCAAGGATGATTCGTTTTCTATGTTATGCAATCACTTCAGATGAAAAAGATAAAGTACAGCTAGCGTTGCATCTTGTTAGCATTGGGGCCAACCTGGCAAACTTTTCTATTACAGTGTAAGTCTAACTCTTACCCTTTACTTAAATATTTGTCATATTTTTTCATGATTTGATTATGTGATAGTATTCATGGAGAAAAATATGACAATAGTCACTGACTATCTGCAGTTAACCTTTTCACCAACAGTTCTCTCTATTCATCACAAATTCACAAAATAATTCCATTTATAGTCGGTACTTTCCTTCAGAAGATTGGGACCAAAATAGCACATTTTTTCAAGTAAAAACTGAATATTGACTCAAATTTCGTCTGTTGGCTCCAAAATTAGGTTTATTTCCAGAAATATTGAAGGATATTATTTGGGCAAGAATAATTGCATTGCTGAGAACAATTCACACAATTTTATATTTAAATCTCATCACACAGACTGAGCAATTCCATCGCTGAGAACAATTCACACAAAGAAGTAGTCGTTGAGACCTGCACAAACCAATAAATATTGTATCCAGTTTATCGAACGCTGCTGATCAAAGGAAGTGTAGGAACGGTGGCATTGGTGATGTGGATAGTAATGTACAGAGTTTGATTGATAAGATTCAAGGCGGTTTAGAGGTATGGATTTGCTGCATTATGTAATGGCTTGTCAGTAGGACCTTGATATGATAGAGGCACTACCTGATTGC